ACGTAGAGCCATCGTTCTCAGGAAGGTATCACTCTTGTTTTTTACTCTGCTTTAAGACATTTGTCTGGTTTTTGTATTAGTTTATGAAGTTGGTTGAGAACAGTAGTTTGATATTGATTGGCATGATTGAGATTGGTATGTTCAAAAATTGAACCTTTACGTGCTTGTGTGGTGATACTATAAGTTTATACAGACCCACGTTTAGTAAAGCATTTATGAATTCCCCTGTTATTCACGTGAAGGATCATTTACGAGATTATGTTTTTTTGTTTCTTTTTGAGTGTCATGTTTAACTGAGGCTTGGTGTACTTATTGTGGTTATAAAAGGCGTTTGCCAGAAGAAATGGAGCAGTTAGGACCAAGAAGGGTAAGAACAAGGAAATGTCGTATGAATATGCGGCTGTGGTGATCCAGAGGGCCTTTAGAGCTTATGTGATCCGCCGGTCAAAAACATTGCGTGCTCTTCGTGATCTAGCTATTGCAAAGACTAAACTGAAGGAGCTAAGAGCTTCGTTCCACAACTTCAGCTACCGACGCTTGATTGATCGTGATGCAGAGGAGCGTCAGAAATTCTCAGAAAAGATCATTGTACTCCTCCTCACAGTTGATGCCATAGAGGTAATTCGTTGTGTTTTAAAATTCTGAGAGTTTATGGTTGTTTGTCTCTGTCTTGTTAATTACAGTTAAAAAATTTAGTCCTGCTCTTTAATGGGTTCAGTTTTGAGTCCTTAGTCTAAAGGGAATGCCTTTGCTTTTCAAATTCATTGTAGCAAAATTAGAATTAGATTAAAGCTAAAATGGGTAAAGCCATTGAGTGTTAAGAACCATGAATATTGTGTTTTGGTAACAGGGAGTTGATGTAATGGTTCGAGGAGCGAAGAGATCCATGGTGGATGAGCTGGAAGCAATGTTGGACGTGGTAGACCCGCAGCCGCAGGGGAAATCATTGTCGATGAGGAGGAGAACGTTCGATATGCCAGACAGTTTGATCCGCAAAGAAATTGCAGAAGGAGTGACTCAGATTGTGCAGATGCTTGAAACAGAAGAATGATGGAACTATGTGTGTGTGTGATTCAGAGGCTGTTTTGTTGTGTTTGTTTTCCAGAATAATTAATTAGCCTCTCTTTAGTTTGCGTAGTGTTCTCATGTTTCTGATTATGGAGAAAAAAATAAAATAATCAATGGCTTGAAGAAGAGATTGGTGTCTGTTTAACAGACTCATCCCTCAAATC